GCCCGGTAATTTATGCATCTTTGCTCCACAAATCTATCCCAAACAATTTCTTAAAATTTAAGGCACGTGCAAATAACAGAAAGTACTACTTCGTTACAAGAATGAAAATTTCAAAGTTATATGAGCAAAACTGGTTTTTTTGCAGAAAAATGATACAGCCACCTTGGTACCGGATTTTAGAGTTCATAACAGCAGACATCACCATTTAACCAAAGTTGTTAAAAACTCTGGAAAGAGCAGGCCACAAAAGACCTAAAACTACGTCTGCTCATAAAAGTTGTCAAATAATTCCTTCAGCTCCAAAAAACACATATTACGAACAGTTATCACAGTAGAATAAACCTAAGAAATAAAACTGACAGCCACATAAAACACCTACGACAATGGAAAATCTCATAAACATAACTTTACGAAACCAATAACCATAATCAAAAAATCTATAGCTGTTTGGTACATGAAAACACGTCTGCATAAACTCGACAAAATTTTTTCACCAAAAAATTTATTTTAGCACGTGTTTTAAAAAACCGTCGCCAATAATCACCGCACGATCATGAGCAATTTTTATGACTGTACTGTACATTAGCTCTGTAAAAATAAAACCGAAAGGAACTTTACGAGAGACTTCTTTCCAAATAGTGTTAGCAACCCCTACAACTACCATTTCGTCAACTGTTTTTAAAGTATTCATCTTGAAAGTTATAATAAAGTCAAAATTTTTTTTTTTAAGCAAAGCCTGATCTCTCGGACTTAGGGAACAATCAGTGTTATCAGAGAAGAAAAGCAAAGCTTCGACTTTCCATAATTCTAAGAATTCATACCAAACTAACCCTCTGTAATTTGAGTGTAAAACCCAAAAAACATGCTTCAGAAGTGGACAACATTAGACTGTAACCAAAATATTCGCTGAAACGGAAACTAGAAACGATCGGCACGATAGTGGACACTCCTCCGGTCGAATTGCATCATCGCAGTGGAACGCTGCCAAGAAAGTGCAGTTCTTGGAGGCGGGAATCAGTGAACGCGTCTTTTTCAAAAAGTTTTTACTTGACGAGATGTCAGTATGACTCTAAACTGCTTTGTCATCGCTTCAGCTTGTCATTCCCGGATATCCGGGAAGTCAAGCAGTGTATAAGTCACATTTGTGCTGTATATTATTCGGAGTTCTCGTGACATGTTTCTATGAATTTTGATGTGGAAAGCAAAGATTTGTGTTAGTTTTTTGTAAGGAGAGTTTTTTCGTAACTGCTTTGGCACTGTTATTTAGTGAGACTCATGGGACTATACAAACTCCCTTGCTTTAAGAAATCCTGAGCCAGGCTGTACTTAGTCCTGTTCCTAATATTCGCGCGCAGTCTTACTTCCATATACTTCGGCAATCACTGTTTGCCAAAATACAAATATGGGTTTCTTTAAGAGCACTATTCACACTTAATTTCATACTTCCAGTTTTCTGGACAGACTGGTAGTGTAGTTCAGGATCAACTACCACTTTTTCGGAACTTCATACATCAATCTTTTGGTTTTTTAGCCAAAAAAAAAGAAGTTTCACCAGTTCTCAATTCGACCATAATTACTTGAAGCGGCCAAAATTTCATCTATGAATCAGGTGATTAGCGTCATGGGAGTATGAGCAACAAGGTAGAACAACTTGACTTGAGATGTCGACACGTCCACAACCTGACCATACGTGCACTTAAAGATTGATTTACACGAGTAACAAATCGACCAAATTTTCTTACAAACTTATAAAAATCTTTACTTCTTAAATTTCAAATTGGACAGAACAAGTTATTTTGATTCTGGAAAGTGTTAGGCGGTTCTGAACTACGCACTACCTGACTTTCCAGAATCTAAACTACTGGTGGAGCGATTCTCTGCCATGACGAAGTTGCATACAGCTCTCGGTGTTGCAAATCAAAAGAAGATTTAGGATTGAAGTGGAATATACCTCGAGTAACTAACGCGATGACATAACGTATATAGTTAATGAGATCCAATTGCAAAACGTTATTTGTGGTCATCTGCTGGTTTATGCTAAAGTATTGCTCACTTGTACACCGCGAGCTGTTGGATCTGCGCTTTATCTCCAAAAATAAGTGTTCAAAATAGTTTCATGACTGCTAGATAAATTCACAAACAGAATAGAAATACTACTGACTTTGTTGGTGGGATAATTCCACCACATTCAAGCTTATTAGTCTAGAGGAGTAATCTATACGATCGTTCTTCTGGCTGGTTTCTTACGATACACAGGATTTGAAACTTTCATATTTGAACTAAGTAAATCGAAACTTACTGGATAAATTCAGGTATTTACTAAATCTGATACCCTTTTTTAGAGAAGCCCCATACTTCTATTCTTTCAACCTTCGTAGGAAGGGATTGATTTGCTGCATATTTACAAGGCAAACAGTTAGTAATTTAATATTTCTGTTTTTTAAAAAATGAACTAAAAGCGGCGAAATTTGAGTGTGAAAGTTGTGTATACCTGGGTTTTAACCCGCCAGCACTCTATATCTGCTGTTATTTACGTTGCTGTCATGTCATATTAAACGGTCATAAAAAGGTGGTTCCGTAAAATCGCATAACACTTAACTCCATAGTTCAATATTAAATTCTTAAGGAGAAATTAACTAGGGTCGAAAACCTGAGCTTTGGCATATGAATCGAAGGGGCCTTTCTGTTGAAAATTAAAATATACCACTGAAAAAATTCAGTTTTAGAGTTTGATACATGTGTCTATTTGTCTGTTAAAGTACCCTCAGTCGGAATTGCCATGTCTTAAGCTAAGGCTTTTTTTAGCCCGTCTTAAAAGGCAATTCTAGATTCCGCAGACTACGGATTAAGACAACAGAAGTTTTCTTCTGAAGCGTAATGTCTGAGGTCTTACGAAAGAGAATGTGCATGGGAATTGTCAATTTTTGAAAGTTCAAATTTCTAACTCTGAATTGTCTAAAAAAATTAGCATTTGAGTGAAGGTGAAACACTCTTTACGCCACACACTGTGTAAATTTTTGAAGAGGTTTAGACTCCAGAGAAAAACCCGATAATATTGGTGCTGTTTGTCGTGCTATAGTGAGCAGGAAGAGGTGTTGTAAGTAGTCTCGCAGATTCTGAAAAAAGATTTTATTCTTCAAGGAACTGCTAGGTTAGGTCGATAGTGCGGAATTATTGAAGGCTGTAATAGAGAAAAATTTTAAAAAGAAGGATTGCTGCGAATGTGTCTTGAATTTTTACTTTCAAAACAGCCACATAAAAGCAGTTAGCTGTGATTGAGGACATGCCGGCTGTAAATTGGATATTCCACATTTTGATACTGCTAAAGTCTAACAAAACCAGGCCATGTGTGTGAAAAGTTGACTATATTATCACCCTGTGATTACTTATTCAGGGGGTTTATTAGTGCCTGCATCACTTTCCTTACACTGTTACAACAGATTATATTTATTCATAATTTTGAGGCATTTCTTTGACATTAGAAAGTTTTGTTGAAGAGAATACTTCCGGTTTTTTCTAAGGGATCGTTTCGTTTCAAGGATGAAGACATTTTACAAGAATGGGATTCAAGGGCTTATTGAAATAATGTATTGAGCGATGAGTGGCGATGGTGAATTTAGTAGACTAGAATTGTTTTGCTAGAAAAAAATAATGAAATTAATAAAATGTGAACGAATCATTGAGAACAACCTGACAGTTTGGTGGTGTCACACGCAAGCCTTTACTGGATGCTTCTGACGGACAGTACGGAATATATTAGACGGATTTTAGAAGAAGCAGTCAGCAGGTTAGGGAGAGTTTCAGAACCTTTATTGTGACTTTCCTCTTATAATATTCTGAAGTCTGAAAATTTACTTTTGTGAGCTAATTTGGTAGTTTACGGACATTTTCAGTTACTGATTAAATGTAGCGTCACTAGGCTAGAAAAGTCGTGCCCAACTTTCCTATACCCCCACTGGAAGAACTCTGGGGGTTGCATAAAAAAACTATCCTGCTCGAGTAATTGCTGTGTGAACGCGTCGGTGTCGCCGATACCTCTAAGGCTTGTGAATCAAGATCTAGAGTTTTTAGGAACGCCATGTATCGACTAAAACTTTTATGATACTATTTTTGGCAAGTACGACACTTATTGAGTAGCATACAACTTTGTGTTTGATGCCTGGAATTTTGTCTCAGCGGCAGTCGTGGTGTTGAGTTTATCTCAACCATTATGGTTAAGCATTATGATTAGTAATGTCAGGTTTCAGATGTTGTGTGCATTGTTCTTAAGGAAAACCTAAAAACAAGAAAAGTTTTTATTGTTTTAAGCTCTCTGTCTCTGCATCGTTTCACTGGTCGTTTAAAATAACTGTAAGTTAACTTTGAAGTTATTTTTACTGAACGATAATAATGAGACACATTTTCAATGTTTTTAAGTTGTCAAAGAGAAAGTATTGCACCAAATTTTTGAATCAATCTGTCCTTTTTTATTGATGCGTAATTAATATTTCAGTTTTTTCCTCTCTTCTTTGCATTTGTAACGTTGGCAATCCTTAGCAGTTTTTAGGCGTATTACACAATTCCCTTTCAAGTTCAAATAACCGTCATTCCTCTCTGTGACTTAAGCGGGAGGCACCACTGTAGCATTAACGATATGTTACGGTATCACTAGCAGGACTTTTATCGCTTTTACCTATTTTCACTGGTGTGTTTCTAGTGCAGTATTATTGTTTTGTGGCGGAAATCTTTTTATTTTTTGAAACGACAATCCGGTTTTGCAGATCGGCTTCTAATGAACAGTAACGCTATGGATGCGAGTGATACTTGGATTGAGTTATCTCTTCAGTAGGAACTGCTTTAGAACTCATTAGTGTAAGAGGACTTAAGTTCACTTCTAAGGTTTTACGTATCCACATTTTTTTCACTTTAATCTGAGGCTTTTAGTGATTGTGTAAAGGCACTTCAAATTCTTATGGTGCTGCACAATTAAAGCTTATTTCTAAGATTTTTCAGGAAGGATCATGTTTAAAGTGTCATCGGAACCCGATGTTTATCATTCAAATGTTGGGCAACCGCTGAACTCGTGCCTAAACTGTTACCCTTCTAAAACAACTCTTAAACCATCAAGATATGTAAATGTTCTTGATTTTGCCTATTATGGGTGTGTTCCGTGGCCGTCTGCTGATGGGGAATCCCCACCATTTCGTTGGTTTGCAGATATTCGATATACTTTTACGACACCCTTGTCTCATCATTATCCATCCATTGCAGACACCGTTTTGTCTTCTAAGCAGTAAATTTTTAATGGGACATTATATGTTTCTCATTGAAGGTTTAACCGTAGGTGAATGGTATCAATGGCTTTTATAATTCTTTTCGTATTCTATTCAAATAATTGTGGAAATTAAAGCGAAGTAATGACGTGGTTAAGTAAAGCAAAAAGGTACTTATTATTTTGTGCATTCTTTCTCTCATTTAAGTCAAGTCCCTGATTATTTAGGGTGCGTAGTACCGTTAAGGAAGTTGCAGCAGCCGAGAATGCCACTGTTGACATGATATGCAGACGAGCGCTTGGAATTATCAAGAAGATGAAAGCAAGTATTTCGAAGGCCATATGTAAAACAGTGGCCTATATACTTTTCAAAGTGTTCCGCAGAATGATGACTCAGTTGCTTGTTTGCCCTGCACAGATGGAACAGTTGCAGAAAGCTCAAAAAGTACGTTTAAGAAGTAACAGAGGGCTTTAACTCACCAGAAAGCTTGGAGAAAAGTTGTTTTATTACTGGGAATGAACGTTCTATTTTGCCGCTCATTTATGAGCTGTTATAAAGTATTTTCTTACATATTTTTTGGATAACTGATAGTATTTATGTTGCATGAAAAAGAATTTTTTTTCAGACTGGTGTTCCGCTAGTTTATCTGCCTCTTCACAGAAGTCATTTAGACTATCTCTTGATTACATGGACTGTTTGGCACTGGGGACTTCAACTACCTCACATCGCTTCTGGAGACAATTTAAATTTGTCGGGGCTTGGGTTCGATACTTATTAGGCGCATCCTATTTTTTTCTTTAAGCTTGTATTTTGTGGTCGTTTTTATCCTGTTTTGATTTTCTTTGATGAACTGTTCGAATTGCGGTTAAAAATATTCATTCCGAATTTTCCGTTATTTCTTTTTTTTTTTTTTTACTGCGTTTTTAGGTGGGTTTTACGTGGAGCTGGAGCTTTTTTCATCCGACGTCGCATTGGAGGTGAACTTAGCAGTGGCAGTGACAAGCTATATCGTGCTGTATTGAATTCCTACATAACAGAAATATTACGCCGTGGAATGCCACTGGAATTCTTCTTGGAAGGCACCAGGTTAGGAAAACTTCAGTTTGTTTGCTTGAGTTAGGAGCATTAGAAATTCGCTTAAACCATCCGAAGTCAAATCGATCACTTTTTTAGTTGATTTTTTGAATCTTTGAAGTTACATATAATGCTAACGCTCGTGTCCTTATATACAAAAGGAGAGGAATCTCCCTTTTGTGCCTAATTTGGCTAACGTTGAAAGATTGTAATTCGTTTCTTCATTTGCATTTTTTGAGATCATTTCTTAAAAGTATCTTCTGCTTCATTCTAAGGTAATTCGAGAAAAAATTAAGAATAATTCGTTCCCCTTAAAAAGTAATTATTTTTGGGCTTTTTTCTTTATTGGATGCAATAAGTCTCAAGGTGGAGCAGTCTACTGAAATTTCCTTCGCCTTAAGTGGTCAAGAACACAAATTGAGGTATTGTCGCTGTAAGCAGTTGGTTCTAGAGCTGTAGCTACTGACTACAATAGTTGCTAACTTGGGTGCGTCTTTGAAGCAGAAAATTTTAACACATTTTTCACGATTTCGTCTCACTGCTCTTTTCGTAACTCTTCTGACTACTGTTGCTCTGTTTTCAAATTTACCGTCATTTTCAAAGAAGAAATCTCCACACTTCATATGATTTCCAGAAAGAAATTGAGGTTCCAGCATTTGTCCCAGTCCGTTTTGAGAAGATTGTTTTCTGCAATTTATGAAGGAAAATTAATTTTTATAAATGTTCAAGATGTAGAAGAGATGCTGTTTAAAAAGCTCTAAACTTTTTTGACTTTGTGGGGTTCTTGATAAGCTATAGTCTTTCAAAATTTACTGTGTTCTACATAGAGGCGAGATTTATCGTAACTTTGTGAAATTACCAGTTTTCTTTAAAAGGAGTTAGAGAAACAACTGCTTTATTTCTGCATATCGAGATTAATACTACCATCAAGCAAAGTTCGACAAGAAATCCGAAATATCGACTGAAAAAATGATTAATCTTACATTAGATGACTCTTTTTCAGTTTTGTCAGTTAAGTTAGCAACGTAGAGGTTTTAAAAATGTGGTGTATCTGTTATTTTTTTTCAGAACTCGGTCTGGCAAAGCTTTGTTACCAAAAAATGGGCTTATTTCGAGTGTAGTAGAAGCAGTTAAGCGGAGTAAGGATTCAGCTTTTTTTTTCTTGTTTTTACTGCTTCACTTTTATTTTGGAGTATCTTACAGTTAGTTTTTAAGGTGACGTTGACTTATTCTGTGTGCTATAAAGAATTTCAGGTGTGATTTCGGATGTTTATCTTGTTCCTGTGTCTTTTACTTATGAACATCTTGCCGAAGATATGTTTTTTGAAGAGCTACTGGGTAAGCAGAAAACTAGGGAAAGTGTTTGGGGTTCAATAAAGGGCATGTGGAATAGCATAGGCCGTGGTCGTTGCGGCTCTGTTAGGCTACATTTCGGTGTTCCAGTGCTCCTCTCTGCAAGTTTTTTCATCTCTTTGAAATGAATGAACAAGTAAAAGACAAAAGTATATTTACTTGGCATTTTTTAAAGGACGCTTTTTTTAAGGATTATTTTCGTTATGTTAAAGCTGTATATGATAATGGTCATGATCAATTTCTCGTACATTCTAAAGGTGCTGTGGATCCTTATCGTGAATTGTTACCATGGAAACGTGGGAATCCTGATAGTGCACTTATTCGTGCTATTGGCACACACGTTGTATATGGTGGTTTATTAGTATACAGTTTAATCTTCGTGTTGTTTATATTTCGTTTTGATGTTTCTGTAATTAGTTTATTTTTGCAGATGCACAACGCCAGGCTTCTATAAGCATTTGCTCTGTGGTTAGCGCACTGTTACTCTGTAAGTATAGCGACGGTTGTTGTTTGGAGTCTTTAACTAAAGATCTTGTTTGGTTTTGTGATACATTAGTGACCAAACAGTTTGATGTGCTCGGCTGGGTTAAAGGGAAAACCGATGGAAACGCTGCATTACAAGTAATCCTTGTTAATTTCTAATTGCAGTGGTAGTTATCTTATACTGGGTTTACCCCTTGTAGTTTTATAGCTTTACGTCGTTTCTCTGTGACTTAAAAGTAACCATTTTTTCTTTATCTTCTACTCTTATCCTACTTTCGTTACCGTTTATTTGTAAGCTTTTCGTTCTATTATAATTGTGAATTTAATTACAGCGAGCGCTACCTGTTATTCAGAGTGCAGTACGTATTGATGGAAATTTTTTGTCTTTTGAACTGTCACATTTGGAAATTTTACGGCTCACTTACTATAAAAATGCTGTTCTTCCTGCGGTATCTATTGCTTCTGCAGTCGGTAAGTTTTTCATTCTTATAGGTGTTGATTATAATGTTCAATACAGCTAATTTGTTCCAGCAATCGTTGAATCTTCCTTTCATTTTTCAAGAACCAAAACACTCGAAACAGTCAGAAACTGCTAATTTACAAGTTCTTCTTGTTTTTATTTAAATCGTGTTAACTTTTCTTCTTCATCTACAGCTGCCATTTTACTTCTGAAGCCATAGAAAAGTCTCAATTTTATTTTTATTTCTTACTGCACATCAGTGTTGTTAGAGGAGAAGCAAGATGGCAGTGTTGCTTTTTTTCAGTGCATTAGTCATTTATTTTCAATAATTTTAAATGATCAAGACGATGAAGATTTGAGTTTTTTTGGGCAAGAGAATAGCTTGCTCTCGAAATATTAACTGCTAGGTTTTTATGCAGCTTTTGTCAAAGAAATGACGGCTGGAAGTGTGGTTGGTTTAGATCTTACTTTGTAGTTAGCATTTTATGTTTTTTACTATTTTACTTACGTTGGGATGCTTTAGCTCTAGCGGTTTTATCTCATCGTGGCTCAGAATGGGCGTCTTATTCGTCACTGATTGAAACGACACTAATTATTTGTGATTTGCTGCAATTTGAGATCATTTTTTGCAAGGTTCTTGTCTGCGTTATTTTTAAAAATAAATAGTTTATTCGAGAAACATCTAAATTGAATGGAAGTCAAAAAGCTTATTCTCTCTTTGTAGCCTTGCGAAAATCTGAAAGCGAAGATTGCCAAAGAAATAACTGTCCTCAGTGAAGATTGCTTGACACCTTTCCGTAATGAAGTTGATTACGAGAACAACAATGTTAAAGTAAGTTCCACTGGTGTTTCGTTTCTGGCTAGTTATATAAGTGTACAAAAAAGTTCTGAACCATTTACATGAATTGTTTTACTAAAAAACTGTGTAGCTTATTATTCATTCTGAAGCATTTTTGGTGTGGTTTTAGACTGTCCCAAATTATTCTATTTTTTCAAGCCTTTTCTGTTTGAAGAATCGCTGGTCTAAAAAACAGTAAGCTAGGACAGCTTGAAAACCTACTTGTAGTTTAGAGGAATTAGAGCCGTAATTTACCTAGTAATTTTAAAAGTTTCTCTCATCGACAGAAGCCGTTTATAGTAAGTGTTACTTCTGACCAATATTGTTCGAATTATGCAACAGTATTGTCACTGTGCTATTTCAATGAGGATTCGGAATCGCTTTGGAATAAACCCTGTTTCAGTTTTACGATATATTGGGGGAATTATTAGGTGAGAGACTATGTGATGAGTGAGGCAGGCTTAAATGAGTTAGAAGCCAGCTGCCTACGGTCATTTGGCTTCTGATTTTTCTATTTCTTCTCTAAACAAGGCATTATTTAATTTAGTAAGCAACGACTACATTTATGAAGAAAAATTGTAAATGAGAAAATGCTAAAAATGGGATTGCTTTCCATAAATTTAAAGCCGCTGGTTACGAACCGAATTATGGTCATTTGAAAGATGACAGGGATTGTTTTTTGATTTTTAATTTTTTTGTTAAGTTAGTTGTAATATAAATGTCATCCTTTTGGGGTCTAATAGGATCCTTTTGAGTTTGCTTCTCTTACTTGCACAATATTAGTGCGTATTTCAGATTGTTAATGATGAAGCGGAAGGCGTCTTACAGTTTTTTGCTAATTTCATAAAACCTTTTATTTATTCTACTTATCTAACCGTTAAGTACCTGCTCGCATTGAAGCAACCATTTGAAGGCGATGGTATGTTCACAGTATATTTTGAGCCTAAAATCAGCATAATTCAATTTCTTGACTTTTTGAATAGCTTTAAAAGCATTTTATTTACTGTCTGCAAAGTAACTCTTGGAAATTTATATTTATAAATTGTGACAGAATTTTATATATACATACATATATTGTATATATATATATATATATATATATATATATA